AGGCGGGGGAGAGGCGGGGGAGAGGCGGGGAGGGGGTTTTGCAGATGTGTGTGTTCAGTCACGATTGGAGGGTAGACCTTAAACGCGTGGGCGGGCGTTGTGACGCAAGGCCTCGAAACAGGGAACGCCATCACCACCTCACTTTGTGGCGTGAGCGACAATATGTTTTTTGCGCGCCCTGAGGACGACGTTTGTTCAGTGAGGAGATGCAGCCAACGTGGCAGCCGAGGCGTCTCTCAGCATCGGTTTTTTTTGGGGGGGGTATTTACGGCTTGTCCTCCTCCGTTAGATTTCCCCGGGAGCTAAAAAATCCACTTTAGTTTTTAGGCCAACATAAAGAGCAGCGATGCGGTCTACACAGCACATACGGGCTAACACATACGAGCTAACACATACGAGCTAACACATACGAGCTAACACATACAGGCTAACCGTGTGTTCCACCAGCTTCTGGAACGCTTACTGGTTTAGCAGCTAGCATTTCTTCAACTAAAAGCACAGGAAAACCATTTTCAGCTCCTACAACAATTCCCGAGCACGGCAGCGTGGATGCTTTTGTCACTGTAATGTTATTGTCTTGTCCACATTACCAACATTCACCAAAAGACCACTTGCCCGCCATTTTTGGCAGCCTAAAATGTCCGTCTGTCCTGCTGTTACGACGAAGCTAAAATGTCAAATTACAAAGAGCCAAAGGGAAGCTCAAACAGGGGGCCTCAGGCCATTGACATTTTGGTTGGAACATCTGGACGCAGGGTGTTCTCATACTTTGTTGGGGGGCGGCCTCGTTAGCAGCTAATGCTAAGTGAGTTAGCAAAGTGCGTCATTCATGTTACCAACTGTGCTATTCATTGAGATGCTAATTTGGGTTTGTAGGACCTACTGGAAGAACAAGGCACAACTCAACTAGGCGTATCATAATTTAAAACCATAGCTGTCAACAACAATGGTATTTTTTTGTTTTTGTTTACATACACACACGTTGAATAAGGCTGTGTGTTTCGGGGCTGTAGCCACAGCTCGAGGGCTTTCGTTCACGTTGGATGTGTCACCAGAGCGAAGATGATGCAAAAGAGAGAAACAAACAAACAAAGAGTCTGAGACTTCCGACTTTCCCTCACATCTGTTCAATCTTCTGGGCAAAGTGATGTGTACTCAGTCAGTCTGACAGAGACATTTGATGTTATAAAAAGTGCTATCTTCCAAGTAAATGAAATGATGTCCGTAGAGACATAAACAGTCTGCAGACTGTTGGTTTTAATAACCATTACGCCCTTTTCTTATTACTTTGTCTGGTTTTCTTCTTCATTGATTTCGTGTGCATGTCTACTGTGTGTAAGAATCAATTTGTCATATGCGTTACATCGCATTACAAAGTAAGTATAAATATCTGTGTGATTCTTGCTATTTTCAGGCTTTCAAGTGACAGAATAGATTTTTAGTTTTGTTGTTAATAAATTCCATAATGCTGTTTTTCAGCACACAAGACAAATGAAGGGTTCAGGTTTGGATCGCACCGAGCTTTTACCTGTCGTACGGCATCTCACAAAGTACATCGATAGATTGGTTACCAATGTATTTAATTTGGAACATCACGTAGTGGACTGGGTAAGATGCAACTTTGGTAATGGATTACAAATCAATAAGGTAACGGGGGGAAAAGGGAAATAGTATTTATGAGAGGGAAGCTTATCTGCGTTTGTTCTCACGCCTCCATCGACGACCACGCGTTGAAATAAAGAGTTAGACAAAATTTTATTCATTCATTTATTCACAGATTGATAAACAACCCTAAAATAACACTTTTTTTCTGTTTTGATAATTTGGTCCCTCAAGGCTCGATTGATTTAGTTCAACAACAAAAAAAAAAGTCGTTAAGAAAGCGTGTCTTTTTTTTTTTTTCTTTGAGAAAGTAAGCGTTTTACTAACAAGCAAGGAATACAGAAATACTTCCACTTTTAAAAAGGGATAAACCTCACAAAATCTCATCACAGCATTCTAGCAGTACAAAACCTCTAGTCGTACCAATGCTCCGACCTCCGCCTCTAACAGGCGAGCAGTCGCTACGCGTCAGTTTCGTACCGCGACTCGCGAAGAAAACGTGAAGATTCGTACTAAAGTGTTGACTCTCATGCAGACCTACACACAGCTATGCATCAACGCGTTGGACGGGCTACTGGTTGGTACGTGAACACCATTATTTTACCACAGCGGCCCCCAGTTGGAACCTAAAAAGAGGACGTCCACTCAGTCTCGCTCTCGGGACACTGTGCTTGTATACACGGCAACGTTTTCATCTCTGTACACCTTTTTGTGGCCATTCTTCCCGTGACCGATTCAAGACGTGCTGGCGTTCGATCGGCGTGGGGGGGAACGCAGCCGTCCGCCCTCCTCTCCAGCTTTGTCAGCATTTGCCTGCGAGTAATTAGTATCACCGGGGACGCATCGGGTCCATTATAGCGGAGAGGGGAGGCTTTCATTTCCTTTCTGCTGATTATCGCCGTCATAAAAACAACGCTGTTCGAGTGAACAAAATGGTTCCAGAGCGCATCCGGTTTCTTACGCGGCGGATTGTTGTACCAAAATTATATATATATATATATATTATAATAATAATAATAACGCTTCCATCCCTCCTCTGTCTTATTTTGAGTTCCCCTCATTTCCTCCCACTGCATTGCTCTCCTAATTGGGAAAGCGGCGTTTGCACTTATTCCCCCGAGAGGAGACTCGTGCTACGCGGCAGAGAGAGAGAGATCTAATCTGGGTAAGACTGAAAAGAGCATTGACGGCATCATCATCATCACAACACCCGGACAAAGACGGGCGGTTGAACCCCCAGTGACTCTCCATTCACTGCCTGATAATGGCCTCAACAGTGGGGGCGTTGGGACTCCGTCTCGGTGAGATTAATATTCAACACGTGCGGTGGTTCCCCTCCCGTGACGCAGGAGGGGAAGAGCCCAACGGCCGGTCCGAGAACAGACCTGCCGCCGCCGCCGTCAAAGCACAAATCTGTGAGCAGAAATATGCGTTTCTTGCTCGTGTGGGTGTTTTTTTTTTTTTTTTAAATTGTGAAGCCGGGAAAAAAATGATGAAGTGGACTTCACTACAAACAGCGTCTTTGTTCGGCCTGGTTTCATAAGGCCCGCGGGGCCCCGAGGGAGGCATCTACCGCACTGACGACCTTCTCCGGAGACGAAGAGGAAGGGGGACGAGGAGGATGTCGGACGCGGACAAACAAAGCCTGTTTCCCCAGAGCCCTCATGCACGAGAAAGCATGCCTCTCTGACAAACTCAATAAACACCAAACGTCTTCTCGTCTCAGAGCTTTAATGTAATCGGCCGCCTCGTGGCCGCGACATACCCTGCGCGCGAGACCGAGCGTGTGGTTTGTCAGGTCAAAAAGGTCAATGTCGGTGATGCCCAGAGTCGGTGTGTTTGCGGAGACTTCTGTCGCGCGTGTGGCTGACGCCGAGTCGCGATACCAGTGTGCGCCGCCTGGTTCGTTGGTTCTGAACCCGTCCTCTTCAGACCTGCTCGCGTTGAAGCAATGCAGTCGTGCAAATATATAAAAAGAACAAACTATTTAAAAATGAACAATAAAAAAAACAACAAACGACCATTCAGACACTCAATAAAAGGACAATCAAAGGATATCTTCCTTTCCCAAAGAGCACATTATAACTTTCAGGCAGTTGACTAGCTGCATCCGTCTCGTTCCACCACCTCTTTGGCACGTGGCCCCTTAAAACGCGTCATAAAACACTAAGTTAAGTCAAGACATTCGCACTTCTGTGTCGTTCCCTCAAAACGAAACAATATTTTCAAAATAAGGTCTGTGATGACCACGAGCTTAAGAGATTTAAACATTTTGTTCTATAATAATAAAATATGTCAGTGTGAAGATAACAATTGTCATTGTTGTGGCAACATTCTCTGAATTAAAAAAAAAAATTAAAAAAAACTCCAGACGTTTGTTATTAGCAAAGGTAACTAACACGTCTGAAACAGAGATGCAAAGACGACATGAAAGTAGCATCTGCAGAGGAGCACGAGTCCCGTCATCTGAGACCTCCACTACTGATCCAGCGCGACGGGAAAGTTCCCCCGAGAATCCGGTCACATATTTATCGATTGTTTGGGTGAGAGTTGCGCAGCGTTGGAGACGTCTAAGACGCTCGGCAGCGCATGACAAAACATTCCAGTAGGATAAATCGTGCTACAGGGGAGAGAAGTCCTTTTCCTTTTGGGGTGAACTTCCCCTCTAAAGTTTGCCTCAGAAAGCTTTAATTAGCAATTCAGGTATTTTAAATAATTGTGTAGCTCATAAATAGCGAAAAGTACTTATTTTGCACTAATGCGGGGCGGAAGGACTCGCTGTTGCTTCCGGAGCGGTAGGTTTGTACTCGTCTAATAGCACCTGGTTTCACAGTGGATCAACAAGCACCGAGGCCGTATCGGCTCTAGCTATTCAAACTGGAGAGGCGGCGACAGACGGACCACAGAAACCATTAATGAGGAATCAATTATTACCGAAAGCGTACAATATATGATACAAAGACTATCGTCCTGCTTTTGATCGGTCGTCATCAATTAACTATGCAAAGAAGGGCAACATTGAGGCGCTAGATGACACAGGAGGAGAGGAGAGGCGGGCTGCGTTTCTATTGGATGAGCTGCACGCACGACTATTTAAAAGCACACTTCCCGATTCAACAGCCGAGCTGCACGCTCGCCGAAAACCGAGGCCGGACAAATGGAAACGGAGGACGACGACGACTAGAGCCCTGCTACACTGGGCTGTGGTCCGGGGAAGCGGCCGCCGCCGCCACTACCACCACCACGCACTCGGCGGCGGCGGCGGGGGCCGCGTCCCTGGCCCGGCGAAGGCCCGCGTACAGCCTGTCGTCCAAGTTCGCGGCCAGTTTGTCCGAGAGCTCTGCCGTGATGGTCTGCGGGCCGTAGCCCGGGGAGTCGGGCGGCCGGGGGGGCGAGCCCTCGTCCGGGGTCTCGGGAGGGGCCGCCGCCGCTGGTCCGCCTTCCTCCCGGGCGTCAGGGCGCCTGCCGGCAGGATGGAGGTGCGGCGGTGGGACGTCGGTCGGCTCGACGCCCCCCCCCTCGCCGGCCTCCTCGTCGGGAGCGCTGACGATGCGGGGCAGCGTGCTGTGGTAGCCGGTGTCCAGCGGGCAGTTCACGCTGTCGCCCCTCCGGAGGGGGGCGCGCAGCCGGTCAAAAGAGGACTGGAAGTGTCGGACCCCCGGGTCGCTCCACTGCTTGTGCCGCTGCCACTGCTTGCGGAGGTGGACGCGGGACCGGTGCTTCCGGAGCGGCGACTCCTGCTGGTCGAACTGGGGGTCGTGGCGGAGGAACTCGTGGAAGAGGGCGTCCGTCTTCTCGTCGATGCTGTAGTCCCGCCGGTGCAGGGCGGGCGGCGGGGAGGAGGAGGGCGGCGCGGCCGCTCGGGGCGCGAGCACCTGACCACGCGGGACCCAGCTCGGCGAACCAGCACCCGTTTCCATGGAGACCCCACCGCTGGCGCCCGACGGGAACTCGTCCTCCGGCTCCTCCTCGGAGAGACGACACTCGAAGCTCTCGCCGACAGTGCCGGCCGGCCCGGCGTGGGTGAAGTGGTGGCGTTTTTCGTTGGCAGTTCGGTCCTTCGGGCTGCCGCCGCCGCCGCCCCCAAACAGCCGTAGGTCTTCGGGGCCGCGGGACGGCGCCTCTATCGACGCGTAGCCGCTGTCCATCTGCAGCAACTTGCGATTCCCCGTCTCCGCGTCGCCGCCCCCTCTCCGGGACTCGGTGCTGTCCTGTTTCCTCTTTCTCGCCTCCGTCGCCCCAAACCTCTCATCCACGTACCCCGAAACGTCCTTGTCATCCTCTCCGCCCTCCGACTCGTCGCCCAGATCCTGGGACGGGAAGCTGGGGAGCTCTCCGCTCTCCGGCTGCCGGCGCCCACCCTGCGAACACACGCTCTCGGCATCGCTGCAGACCGAGTTCCTGTCGTTGTTGCCGCCGCTGCTCCGGTCGGAGGCGGCGTACCGCTCCAGCGTCGCGCGAAGGGTCCATATGTCTTTGTAAAGCGAGTGGGAGTTCTGGGGATCCGGGACGTCGCCGCCGTCCATTCTTGACGGGGACAGTGCTTCGTCTTGGGGATCGGGGGACAGGCCAATCACCCCCGGTCCTCCGCGACCGCAGCTGGGCTCCACCGTCACCTCCACCTCTACCCTGCAGGGTGCACACAGGTGTGGAGAGACGACAATAGTTAGGAGGGGGAGGAGAGAACACGGGACACGCGTTTACCTGAATGACACGTCCATCCGACACACGGCTGTGTTCACACTGCACAGGATGGTTTTCATGACTTGCGATGGCTTTAAACTGAGCTCCGAGCGGAATACTGACGCCGTGCAGGGTTGGAAATTCCCAGAAATCCTTCATCGGCATGAATGAAAGTCCATAACCAGCATGGCGGCTTCCAGCAGATTGCTTTTCAACAGCAAACACGGACGGGAAATATTGAGTGTGTTTAATCTAATTGTCAGTGAACGAGCGGGGTTGGTTATTTTTGTTTGAACCCTCATATTGGGTTAAAATCTGCGTTGCTTTAATCACAAACTCAAAATAACAAAATGGCCGTGACCTTTTTGTGGAGCTCGTGACTTCATCGGACCATGTCAGCGATGGGATGGTTTCCTTTGCCAGAATAACCCCCCACGTCCCGATTCTCCACTTAGCTCCCCCCCCAAAAAAAAATAGAACTGTGGGAAAGTTGTACATTGGGTGTCTCTTGTTTACAGGGATCTCATCACAGTTAAAAATAAAAAGAGAGATTCATATTTAATTTTTTATTTAAGATGTAGAAATAAGAATTTAATTAAAACCTAATTTTCTATATATTTTTCAATGAGCCACAGTATCATTTCAGAGTTTATGTTAAAACAACCACTCTGCGTTATTTTTCCCCTCATAAAATCACCTGGAGAATCGGGGCTTGGAGGCACGTCGTCATCACCATACATTGTCTAGCTACACAAGCATGAGTGCAAGGCAGCAAAGCAGTGAACGAGATGAATGGCAAGGGAATTAAAGATACCTGCCGAGGGAGGGGGGTGGTGCGGACGGAGGCGGGAGGAGGCGGGCCTTCGGGTCGGCGGGCCCGTAGGCGTCGTCCTGGGTGCGGGCGAAGTACTGGATGAGGTCTATGTGGTGCGCGTCGTTGTCGTCCTGGTCCATGCTCTCGCTGGCGGCTCGCTGCCGCTGGAACTGTCTCCTCTTCGGGGAGCCTGGGGGTGGGGGGGGGTCACAAGTCGCGTTAGCAGCAGGCAGAAGTCAAGAGACACTTAATTCAGGAGAAAGCTTGTATCAACTGCTGAGGTTTGGGAGAGGATTTTGTGATGTTCTTTTCTCGGTCTCCTTGGTGGAGGAGGACTGAGCCTTTGGGAAGCACGGGGAAAAGTGTGTGTGTGTGTGTCTGTGTGTGTGCAGGACAAAAGGATCGCTCAGAGGGGCTCCGATTAACTTGGAAGACCACGTCCCGGAGCCATCTGTCCCGTGTGTGTGCGTCTTAGCAGCCAAACGGCGTCTCGCAGTTGGTTGCTGGATCCCCTGCTTAACGTTTGCCTGTTTCCCCACAAGGGAGCATTGCCAGTGATACGTGATGAATAGAAGAGAAATACAGGACGAAGAACAGTTGCACTGACTGCTTCTGAAAACACGAATGTCTATTGGACATATTTCAAGCGTCCGTCACCTCTGGTGTCCAGACTGGAGGCCCTCTGGCTGCTGTCCAGCTTCCATTTCTTGATCTTGAAGTAGGGACTGGCGCCCTCCAGGCTAGCGTGGCGCCGCAGCTTGGTGAAGAACTGCAGCACGGGCCCCTGGCTTCCCGCAGCGCCGCTCCTCAGCCCTGCCCCTTCTCCGACGCTGACGCTGCTGCCTCGGCCCCGGGGCCCCGCCGCCGCCATCATCATCTCGATCTGAGACAGCGAGACAGCGAGACAGAGAGGGAGGTGGTCAGGCAGAACGCCCGCCCGGTGGTGTGCGTTTAATCCCTTCTGACAGTGACGTTCCACACAGGCCTCCTTGTTTACCCATAAAGCATCACTCTGTCGGTCCTCCCTCAGGCTCCGTGACCCTCCTCGAGTCCTCCTGTACGACTCACTGGTCGACTGGCTGTTTGGAGTCTACTGAGCGACTACCTTCCCGGAAAATTCATCGCTCTACGAATGATTAACTCACCACACTTCTTAAGCACTGCGTTGTTTAGAGCTCTTACAGCTCATTTGTGTGCTCGCTCACGGTGTATCGTGTATTTGCATTGTGTATTTTAAACCGCTTTCCACGGCGCGGCATGCACAGCTTAGCGATGCGTCCCCCCCCCCGCCCCCCCGTCGCTGCACCCCGGTTGCAGTTCTAGGCCACTTACGGAGCTGGAGGTTGGCTGCTTGGTGCCGAGAGCCGCCGCGTTCTCACCGAAGCTCGTGTCCAGCACAGAGTTGAGGGCGTCGCCGGGGAGGGCGCAGCCGGGATTGACACTCAGGCCGGTGAGCGCCGTTTGCGGTAGAGGGCACAGCATCGGCTGGGGGGGAAGCACACGCAAGACAACAGCGCCGGTGAATAATCATAGTCATTCAGAGCGAGTTCATGCCGGCTGACGGATTCACATCGCTGTCCTGGATCATTTTCTCCGTGCTGACGGCTGCGCAGCTGTGATCGAACATCTGATTGGGAAATCAATGCGCGGCGGCGAGTTGCGGGGCGGGCAGAGAAATCCCCGCGTGCGGTCGATACATTTCTCTGGCCTGACGCTCGCGTCTTCCGCGACGCGAGGCGGGTTAAAGGCCGTCACCTGGAAGATGGAGAGTGCGGACTTGGCGACGGGGCGCGTCGTCATGGTGACGGTGTTCTCGGCCGAGTCGCACTCGTGGATGGTGACGATCTTGAGGCCCGGGGGAGGGATGTGGAGGTGAGTGAGCCGGGCGTTCTTCAGGTGGTGAAAGTCGCCCTCGGTCAGAGTGTACCTGCAGAGGGCGACGGGGAGTTAAACGGGGACACATTGCGCTTATTTTCAGGTTCCGACTGCTATTTGTTTGCATACATGTTCACACACTTCAATGTTCCAGAGCTTGGAAGTGCATTAAACTTGCCCGATGCACATCCCAATCTATGTAGTGAATCTGTATTCGCCTTCCGCCTGAAACACTCCGTTTAGCGCCCGTCCCTTTAAGCGCCCCTCCTGAAAAAGCCAAGTCTGCCTTTATTGATCAGGACCTTTTAGGTTCCTTAAGGAAGTCCCGACCGCTCCTTTAAAGCGCAGCTTCCTAATGCAAACTGGATTAATGGATGGAGTGTTGTATCTATACTGTACTGCATCTGGACCTTTTGTAATAATAGAGAAAAAGCAACATTTCTACAATATGTTGCCTTGAAATACAAAGCTATACCATCCTCTCGAGGCGAGACAGAGGTCCCGTTCACTCCGGATCAGTTAAAAAGCGTGATGCTTATCCCTGCAGAACGGGGAAATGTCTGAGTGCAAACCCATCAGAGTGGCACCGGATTCTGCATTTAGCCCCGCAGAATAATTCCCTTTGAAGTGTTTGCACATCAGGCTTCGGGCTTCAGGAGAAACGCAGTGAAATAAGGAGAATGGGCCTTTTGTGTCGACAGGACACTTTAATGCATCCCGCTGCTGCTGCCGATTCGCTCTCAACCCGACAGAAGCACAGAAGAGAGACACAGTTCTATGTGGGAACCCTTCGATGGCAGACAGCAGTGCGGTTGTAGTGCAGATGTGTGTCCAGCCGCCTCTCTAACCTGCGGCCCTTCTCCTGGGCCTTCTTGCTGTGGTCGAAGAGCGCGGCCTCGTTGAAGGAGACGCGGCGGCCCATGGTGCCCGTGGAGAGGAAGCGCTCCGTCTCCTGGTTGTGACAGCTGGCCATCGACAGGCAGTCGGACTCATCGACCCGGATGGTGATCTCTGCCAGAGCGCCGGGGGAGAAGGAAGACAGAGGAGGTTCTGGTTATTGTTCCCAGTGACGCGGCTTTAGGGACGGCGGACGTTGGTCCCGCTGCTCCAGGCTGAAACACGGCAACAACATTCGGGCTCCCCCGAGGATGAAACCGGGATCTGCAACCCGCAAAACTGCCCTTTGTGTTTGGTGCCAGTTAGAGAAGGCGAAGGGTTTCAATGCAAACCGTCGGCATGCTAGTGTTTAAGGTCACGCTTAAGGTCACAACAAAGACAAATATGTTCAGGCCCAATTTAAGTTATCAAAACGAGGTATGAAACGGTTGGATCACTGGCTTAAAAATTACCCAATTGAAATAAATTATTGCACTGTTGCTCACTTGCTCGCTACAAACTCGGTTAGTTAGTCTAACGTTGCTCACGATGGGCCGGCAGAGGAGCTTTGGTTCGTCTTCCTGGGAGAACGACAAATCAATGAAGCAGTAGGATATATAGAACTGCTTTCACAGTATCGGACAAAGCTTCTGTTTCGTTCCCTTGTTTAAAACTCAACTCAAGAATGCAGCCAATTCAAAGTTAATAGTGGATTGCCTTTTAAATTGGTGTTAAAAGTTTTGGTGCAACAGAATTCAAATGGGGTCCAGAGTAAAAAAAACAGATTGCTGTTATTGCAGCAATTGCTGATAATTTTTCTTGCAATTTTTTTTTTTTTTAAATCCTTGTTAAATCCTTGTTGGTGCGACCAACATTTTCGTAAAATACCCCCAGAGAAAATGACTTGAGAAAGTCAGCAGTGAAGGCGGTGATGTTCAGACCCCTGAGCGGACGCCAGTTTGTGAACATGGCAAACTGCTGACAGCAAAACCACACAAGCGCAAGTCTGCTGCCAAACGGATGCTTCGCTTTAATAAATCATTTCGCGTCCGAGACATTCGCCGGTCAAAAATGTCTAAATGCTTCCAGGAGTGACTCAGCTACTTAAACTAACAGCGCCGAAATCACTATATTTTAAATGATAAAGACATCACACATTTGTGCTGACGCGCTAAAAAAAAAAAACACCCCCACCCCCATCAATCCGGTCCCTCCATCCCCCAGCCTGCCCGTCTCCATAACTCCTCCCTCTTTGTCCCCTTCTCTCTTACCATGGGTGGGCCGAGACTCCTCCGCGTAGTGGCTGTTGGTTTTCTCGGGGTCATCGCCGGCCCTGCGGCACACAGGAACACTCAGTGTGTTTACATGATGGTATAATTGGAATCTTTGCTTAGTCGGACTGTGCCGTCTTTCAGGGGGGAGGTGCTATTATCCCAATATACATGGCAGTAAATAAATCGAATCATTGGCCGAAAGCACGTCATATCCGATACGATAGGTGGCGCTGTTTTCATTACAACTAGTTGTGATACAGCCATTTCCGCACGACCGCTTCACCACTACCAACAGCGGAGAGCGAGGTGAAGCTACATCCCTCTACTGTGTGTGATGTTAATAGGAGCACAGCGAATGCGAATGGCGCTATCGGCTGATTTGATAACGGAGAGAAGACGCCGTCGGGATCTCAAGCATGCGCAAAGACGCAAAGTCCAGTTCCTCATCCGATTCGCCGCTACATGCCGCAATAGTCGAACTATCAACTGGATCGGATGGAGTTATCCAGGGGTGTCAGTCGGATCGTAGTCGGGCCGCACGCAGTCGGACAAAGGTGTTTACATGAAACGGATAATTCGATTTCAGTCCGACTAAGCCGGTTATTCAAATCCATGTAACCACAGATCCGCTGTGACGTGATGAGAGCTCACGGCCTTTAAAAGGCAGATGCTAAGACAACTGCGAGGACACGCGTCGCGGTTCTGTCCCAACGTCCACCTGCTCCCCTGCAATCCTCACCGAGGGCCGAAGTCATTAACTTGAGCCCCGTCGGGGGGCCAGGCGAGCTCTCGGATTAATAAAAGATGGCGCGTCGTAATTGAATCGCACGCTTCCACTCATCTTTAAGGGTGCGGAGGAAGAAAAAAAGACACAATAAAAGGTCACATTGTTTAGGGGATCACTCTTCTAGTGTCTTCTGCCGACTCGCGCAGAATTTACATTGTCAGGCCAAAACGAGGGAGTGAAAGCTCCTCCATCTCATTTATTTGTGCAGAGAAATGGGATGCGTGTGCGTGTGTGTGTGCGTGAGTGTGAATTGACTTGAGGGATTTCTCCTCCCACCCATCGCTGTGCTTCTTCTTGTCTTTCATTTCCTCTGCGGCCACTGCTTCCTCACGCTGCGTGTGCGCGCTTGTTTGTGTGTATTCCCCGTGCACGCGCAGGGCCGGGCCACCGACGCGAGATTAATCTCCACCGATGGCTGCTATAAAATCTCATTATCTCATCATTTGTACCAGTGGGCCCCGTTTCTCTCCTGCAAGCTCCCCGTTTATCTGCATCTAGCCGGTGCGCTCTCACATGTTCGAGTGCACTTGAGGACGCGTGTCGCTGCGGACGGGGGACAAAGCGTCCGGAGACGAAGCGTCCGGAGGCGGTGGCCGTGATGCCGCCGAATAGACACAGACGAGCGGGAATAACTGAATGAGCTTCCGGCAAAAAAGGTGCTTTCACAAGCGAATACACAGATGACACGTTTCATCCGGGGGGGGTTTTCCTGCATGTGTCTCTTTGGGGTTTTGTGTAATGTTTCTTTATTTTGCACAGCTGTTGTTTTTAAAGCGGTAACTGAATAGTAATCCGGGAGAAAACGCGTTTGCTTCCATCAGCCGTGCGCAGACCCTGCAGGAGTCGCACCGCACGTGGACCAGGTGCCGAAACGCTAAGTGCGCGTTATTGTGGTCGTGGTTGTTTTCATGCATCGCACCTGGCATAGCATTGCCCCCCCGGCCAGCAGCGCCGGCAGGCGAGGAGGAAGACGGCGAGGGAGATCAACGACCCCACCAGGAGGACGGAGAGGATCACCAGGAGGAGCTCGTGGCCATCCTGCTGCTCCTGGGCCACCGACGGGATCTCCTGGGGAGACGCACGGAGAGACCGTTAGAGACGCGTGCTCTTTTTCTACTCCGAGCAGCGGAATGCCCGCAGGGAGAGGGAGGCTACACCTTGAAATCAGTCACGAGTAAAAGGAAAATATTTCATCTTATTGATAGAAAGTAGCTACAATATGTGGATTGAAAAAAATACTAAAATAAAGTTAGCCAGCTTAACGCAGCTTAATAGGTTGATCAGCTGGTCGGGAAAAATGCAGTGAAATGGATCCATAACTGTAATATAAGTAAATAAGTATATTACAGCATTCCTTGGTACATTTACAAGTCCACAATTATTCCTTGATTCATTGATTTCTTAGTCAGTGATTTGTTTCATTTTTGTATTTAGGATGGTTTTTTTTTTTAGCAACAAATAATTTCCTCTTTACTGTATAAATAATGTGGAATTCTTATACTACATGAGCTCATTTATAAATCAACCATTTACTTAACTTATTTAGTTCCTTTCATAAGTAGAATTTTTCTGTTTTTAATCTGATTTTACAAGCAACAAACGTCTCATTGTTTCTTAGTGCGGCTGCAGGGACAAAATAAAGTGAAATGATGAATGAGTCCAAAGCTCTTTGAATGTTTGGCCAAACTCTCTGAGGGCAAAAAACCCACAGAACGTGTCGACGAGCTCGAATCCGACGTCACATCTTCGTTTCTCCACGAGGGGAAATTAAAGCTGATTAGATCAGAGATTTAATTATGTCAGGTCCTGGTCAGGATGTTCTCTATTAGCCAGTCAATCGGCCAGAGGAGAATATGAGGGGAAAGTGTGGACCTGGCTGTGAGCTGGACACAACGCGCGCGCGCGCACGCACACGCACACACACACACACACACACACACACACACACACACACACACACACACACACACACACACACACACACACACACACAGGAAGTTTGAGAGCAATCCGGTGGCGAAAGGCAGACTTACTGTAGAGTTTTCTGGTAGGATGTTCCAGACGGTAGAGTCATTGCTCATGGTCCAGGCCAACTTGAGAGTCCCCCTGAGAGATAACACGCACACACACACACACATAGGAAATGGCTAAATCCAGGCGTAACGCACACGTGAAACAACGCTTCTCTGAACGTCCCATTGTCGGTGTCTGATGTCTCAGAACACGCTGTGAGACAAATCAACTCTCGGTCGTGTAAAGACTGCAGGAGCAACCTCATGTGTGTGTGTGTGCGTGTGTGTGCGTGTGCGTGCACGGCGATGCGTCGAACCCCACGGAAGATGCAAATGGAGGCATCTCGGCTGCAAATCATCACTTGTGACCCCATCAGCCTGAAGGCTCTCTACCTACCTACCCCCCCCACACACACACACACACACACAACAGCAAAATAGAGAGAAACACCAGCACCAGCTGATGAGTTCCTCTACGCAGCGGCTATGCGTTTGCTCCTGCACATCACAGGCATGAATACTGCAGCGCCAAACGATAACATACACACACACACACACACACAACTCTCTGCATAGAGATACTCACCCAGCAGGGTAGGAGCAACATGCCAGCAGCACTCAACTTCAGCACCACAACCTGTAAGCTGCCCCCTCCCCCACAAAAAAAACCTGTTTCTAGTGCCCGAGCGTCACGACAAGAAACACACAACTAGACAACTGTTTCACAGGGAAACACGTCAGGCTCTGACCGGTGCTGTGGCTCATCCTGCTCTCTACCAGCAGCGTCTTTCCCCGATGGAGGGCAGTGCGCAGCATCAGCAGCATCAGCAGCAACAACAGCTCTGGGTGTGTGTTTGTGTGTGTGCGCGTGCGCGCGCCAGGCTGTAGCTCGGGAGTCTCCTCCTCAGCTCCTGTGCTGCATCGTCAGCCACCCCAACACCACCTGTACCCCACCTCTCAGGGCTGATCCACAGTTGGGGTAAATAAGTTGGAGATTACATAATGCCAGCATTTATTTAAAGAAAAAAAGAAGAATTAAAAAAAAAAAATCACTGACACCAAACACCAAAACATGTTATTACAAAATTAAGAAAACCGAAGCTGCCTCACGTTTATTCATTTAGTGCAATCACTCTTTTTTTTTTTTTATAAAGAAGATGCTCTATAATGAGGCTTTTGCAATGGTGAAATAACCCCAGTTGCGTATGTTTGCACGTGAACATCGCGCGGTACTTTTGAGGACCGCTCGGTTCCACGAGGAATGTTCCCCCGGTGGCCCGCGCGAGCAGACGGTGAGACCCGGGGGTCCCGGCAGCGGCGCGTCCCCCTCGTGCTTTACCAAATACACCCCCCCGTGTAAGACAGCTGCGTTACGGGTGTACACGCGGGGCATCGGGTTCGCTCCGAATAGATGTTTTAATTTAAATATCTCGTCTTATGATTCCGCCTTTCGCGGGGGGAAAAATGAGAAATGTTTGCAATGGTTAACGCCGGAGCTTGTTATGAAAAAATATAATTAATTTAAAAAAAAAAAACTGTTGCACCAAAGAAAACGTCTTGTTTTTTTATTGCTTCGTGCAGAATCGCCCCCTCTCTCCCCCCCCCGGAACTAAACGGTGAGCAGCTGTTTCCTCGTGGACGTTCGCCTGAAGACGCCACATTACGCGGTGAAATGAAGCCGACGGTCAACTTCCAGACGCAGAAACGTGGATGAAAAGCCGCGGTTAATAAATGTGCCGTGCTGTTGCGTCGCGCTTTGAAGGCAGCTCGCGCCCTGCACAGGTCCGCGCGAGCACCGGGCACGCGACAAAATAGAAAGAATAAACAGATAAAGCGACGGTGCACTCACCTACTCAACGGGCCGCGTCCATGCAGGGTCGCAGGTGGGCAAAGCCGATAACCCGAAACTCCACCGTGGACGCTTTAATGTGGGTTTTGTTTTAAGGCTAAAAGTATTTATGAATGAAACCCCACTGTTTAAGACACGCCCACCACCCAGTCAGAGGCGCACCACGTGACGCCAGGAGCGAGGCGAAGCCGATTGATTGAAGGTATGAAGGGTTTCTCCAAATTAGCCCGACGCTCAGTTGGGGGTTGCGGAGCAGGGAAGCCCGAACGTCTCCACCGATTTTTCACTATATTCCCTTGGTTTTCATGACGCATTTCAAGCTCTTTTGTTTTTGTTTTTATACATGTTGCATGTTGTATGAAGGCAATTTAATATAAAGGAGCAAAAAAAACTCCCAAAACCAAAGAAATGAGTCCATATCTATTGCCTATGTAGAATAAAACACATCACCTTGGCGCCATCTACTGGTGAAAAGAGCTCATTGGTTTCATTCAAGAAAAACTATGTACGTCATCTCTGCCAAATTTGGCAAACTTACTTTTACCCCAAACCCAAATGCAGTTCCACTGTTTAGTTTTGTGCACAACTTGAAATACCTACCTTTGTTGAAAATATAACACATTCGTGTTTTAAAAAGAAAAGAAAAAGACTACACTACCCTGCATCCTTTGCGGCGCCGCAAAGCTTCATGGGTAGGTTACCAACGTCCTTGTCCCAACCAAGCTCACAGCGACCGCCTTCACGCAAGGGGCTCGAGGATCTCTGTCATTCCCTTTAACGCTAACAAAAATCTGACTAACCGGACATGATGGCAGCAAGGTTTCTCCGCCGTTCCCTGCCCGTGCTGAGGCAAGCGCGCTCCTACGCCGAGGCCGTCTCCGGAGCCCCGCAGATGTCCTTCACTTTCGCCTCCCCGACACAGGTATGCTAACGGTAGCTAGCTAACGTCAACGCTATCGGGGAGGCTTCTCGGGCCCAGCTAGCAGGACGTCGCAATTTTAGTTTTGTGGGGGGGGGTTTGCAGGAAAACGGGCCTCCCAGGTCGCGTTGAGGTGTGGTGCTCGTACGTGGCTCTCTAGTCGTTGCTGAATGTATTTCTTTTATTCATGCAGGCATGCGGGCCGCCAATGCCCTGTGTGTGGGGGATCTCACGTTAGCTTAGCACGCTTACTATGCTAGCTGTCATTCAATGTCTTTGACCGGCAGTGTGAAGTGTGCCATGCGAAACAATATCCATCCTTTTCAGTTAAACAACAAATTGGTTATGTACATATATTTAAACTTAACAATGACTCATTTTTGAATCAGTCAGTTGGCACCAGTGCGTTTACAGCTCTCTAACCTTGAGGTTCATGCCTCTTTACTAAATGTGCTGCAGGTCTATTTCACATTCTGCTGCAGAACTCATTTATTTGATGACAAAAGAACATTTAAAAAAAAAATCTTCTCAACGTAAGATGTTTTTTTCATAGTCTATTGAAAGTTGTCAGTGAGCCTTGAATAGAGAGAGTGAATACTACATCTTTGCATCTGTGTCCAGTCACTATTCCTTAACTCGAAACTGTTACACGAGTCGGTGAATGCATCTCTCCATCTTCTGTCTCCACCCTGCAGGTGTTTTTCAACGGGGCCAACGTGAAACAGGTGGACGTGCCCACGCTCACCGGTGCGTTCGGTATCCTCCCGGCCCACGTGCCCACCCTGCAGGTGCTGCGGCCCGGCGTCGTTACGGTCTTCGCTGACGACGGCCCCGCTGCCAAATACTTTGGTGAGATTCCACTAAAACCGCCGTGAAGGACTGCGGTCCGTTCACCTGATGATAAACATGAGGAATAAATCATTTCCATGCCTCCACAGCGGCATCCGTGTGAAGAAATGATACATTTACATTTTTCACTTGGCTTATCCAAAGCAACGCACAATAAGTGCATTTAACTAAGAGGGTACGGAACCAATAATGGACAATAAGGAAACCAAAATATCACATCAGGACCTATTACATATTCTCACAGTAGGTTGTTTTCCAATAAGCTTCTCTGTTCAAAATACTCCAATTTCTTATATCAGCTATGATTAATGATTGAAGAACTTGTGATATCAGGTTACAGATTGTGATCATTGATTTCTTCCAAAAAGCCGAAAGACGTTACATGCATTATCCATACTGGTCATTTAGGTTGAGAACCTGCCAGTGTTTCAGACTCATGGAAGAGCAAACCTGGGATGATGGAGTGCACTGTGGAGCAGAAGCTAGCTTCAGTGAGGCAGCATGTCCTGGCTCTATAATGCCCCTTGCATCATTGGTTATAAAACACAGTGAAGATGGCTGTATGTTAGCATGTATAGTTACACGCGTGTGTGTGTGTGTCTCTACGCAGTGAGCAGCGGGTCAGTAACAGTCAATGCTGATTCTTCAGTGCAACTGCTGGTTGAGGAGGCAGCTCCTCTGGACCAGCTGGACATCGCTGTGAGTATAATGTCAACATCACTCCACTCACATACAAACCAGAGCGCGTCTTGTCGGGGAGAGTGACCATATATCCGACACGAGCAAATGCCTGGTGGTCGGCATGGCAACCACTTTTAAACGTTAGTGATGAGCCTTGAGTAGTCCTCAAAACAGAAGCTAAATATAGTAGCAGGCTGCATCGTGTACGAGAACCTCACAATGAAAAATCAAATCCAGAATAGTGGGAGAGAACGCAATAAAACGAATCCCTTTATTTACCGTAATGACTCAAACTAATTCTAACGGCATCGATGAATGAGTTCTGATGATCTAGTGCCAAATATTCAGAGCCATTACTGCGAGGATCAACATTTCTGGCATTTATTGCCGAGTGAGAGGCCAAATATTACTGGGAAGCCTTCCTAAAAAACCAGGACATGTTATATACTTATTTATTGTTTGACGTGTTAAACCCTGTTTTGGGAAACCCGGTTGAACATTTGAATTTCTTTTTCTTCTTGTATGTTTGAAATATAGACCTTTTATGGTTCTTCTCCCCGACATTTGTTCCACTTAAAAATACTTTGAAGTGCTTCACAAATGGTCAGACTGCAGCATGTGTTTCTATTTTTTTTTTTGTCACGTGAAATTGAAGCGGTTTTGCACCTTCGGGTCCATCGATTATTTTCGGGATCTTTTTGAACGACGTCTGTCTGACGGGTGCCCACATCCGGTATTAATTACTCATTTCGATCCTTTCTGCCGATGATTATCCGTCTGATCAGAGTCGAGCCCCTTGTTTAAATGTCAGTCTTGTTAATGCTCCGCTGCCTTATTACTCACTCGGCCTGCCTCCGACCTTGGGCAGTGTCACTGTCAAGTTGACTCCCTGGCAGTAAATTAGTTATTTTTTTTCCCCTCGTTGTCCTCGGCTCTGCGCTGAAAATGCACACGGTTCCACGCTGATAATAAGGAGGGAAAGGTCAGTCACTGTTGAGTTATAGCAGATGTGTCAAATCCCCACTGGGAGACCTTTAACTCCCAGCTATGTTTGGCATTTCTCGTTTCTAATCACCACCGTGACGAATGGAGCTTTCGCAGCGAAGAGGCAGAGGAGATTTTCTCCGCTCGTCTTAGTCGCCGCTTTCACACCCGCCGTCGCTCAGCTCTTCTGACGGGCTGTTTTACTGAATAACGGGACGATCGGCGGCAGATGAGGCCACGTTGGGGCTGATCTGAGTGCAGTAGAAATCGTATTTCAAAACTGGGATCCAATATGTAGAAACACGTAATGAAATCAATCTGGACCATGAAACAAACCTACGTCTGAATTGTGGGCTCTGTCATTTGCCGTCCTGTTTCTCACTGTCCTAACACTTTCTTCTTCAGGTTGCTAAGGCCAACCTGGAGAAGGCCCAGTCTGAAATGGCTGCCACATCCGACGAGGCGGCGAGGGCGGCAGTTCAGATCAGCATAGACGCCAACGAGGCCATCATCAAGGCTCTGGAGTAGACCTGTGGTACGGCGTCTCCCCTGCTGCACCCCCGTGCTGTGAGAGAGAGAAAGATGTACTGATATTTAGTTTCACCCAGCTGCGTTATGACGCGTGTTCAAGATTGTTACCGGAGTCGATAATTGCAGAAGTTGAAGTTTTCGTTGTAGAGTACCACGAACTGAGTCACTGTTTTTCTTTCCCCCTTTTCTAGGTAAACTTTTTCTGTTTCTTTGATGGAAATTAATGGTCCACCTGTGTTTCCTGCTCAGTCACGTCAGTGTCCAGAAGATTCCATACTTGCTTTGTACAGTGGATGAATTACAAAATAAATTTATTTGGAAATACCTGTTTTTTTCTTTAGTTCCTCAAATCTGTCCCCCCTCCTGCTGCTTGGTGACGACGGGTTTAGTACTGTGGATGGACGGAGACGACCGACTCTAATGCCGACCCATGTGTCACCGAAGCTAATCAGCGTGGCTTGTAGGAGTCACGCGCGCTCTCGTTAAGCAGACTCGCCATGCAAAGTAAACCCGAGTTATGAGGAACTTCTGTGCCAGTTTATCTTGCGAATGTTTCCGCCACTTGGGGGCAGCAGAGACCCGCTGTACCACTTCTACGGTTTTCCTCATACAACCACTTCTGGATGTGATTTCCTTTTGGGGCAACTCTTTCGAGAAAGGATCCGCTCTAATCGAGTAAATGCTTTTGTCACATACAATGTTTTCAGGCCTACTTTTGTTAGGGGGGTGAGGGGGGGATTGTTTGGAGCTCTGTTGCTGCCTCGATTTCAAATGTGCTGGTCGGCGCTCATTCGAAAGAGCCAGGAAAAGTCCTTTTCCTGTTTCATAAAGGTTTCCGCGCCGACCTCACTCACGTGCCGACTCGAGGCTCGAACCGCAACTGGTTGACTCTGAATGTCAACTCCTGAGGGGCGTCGACAAGTGTGAGCGTCGGTGTTTGCACAGAAAGGTCATCTTGAAGCATTAAGGTTAAGATGTTTTTTTTTTTCTTCTTCTCTCCCGGACAGAAAGCGGCTGCTCCTCTGATCGGTGGGCGCTTTATGACCGTTGAAATATCCCTTTTCATTGATGGCACGTGCTGCGTAGACCCGCAGGCTGTGACTCTGCGCGCCACCCATTAATAAAAAACAAAACAACAAAGAGCTGCTTCTCAACACCTCTTGCACATCCTGCTCGCTCTCCTCGTCTTTCATCAAACCCAGCTGCGCACACACTCACTCATCAGTCAGCCCTCGAGGGGCCTTCAGACGAGATGAAACGGCCCCGTCAAAACCAGCACTCCTTTAATGCCGATTTATGATGCGGGATGTGGAAACCATGCGCTGCTTGAAGATGACTCAGCTAGCAGCGCAACAAGGGACAGCGGGACTTTCGAGGATGTACTGTGATCGAGGACCCGGGTCCGCGTCGTCAGGAGTTTTCCCCCCGGCCGCGAGCACCCTAATGAGGCGGCTGTCTCATTAAGAGAACTGCCCGCGACCCGGGCGCCGACGGCGAAGCTGTACATTGATGTCGGGCGACGAGGATCCTTTTGAGAGCAACGCTCTGTAATTAAGAGAATGTTCCGTCCGCAGCCAACAACGACAGCGTGCGTGCGTGCGACGGCGGTCCGCGGTGGCGTCGTCGTCGTTTTTTTAAAATGGTACGCCGCCACAAAGAGGCTCCCAGCCTTGCGAGGGCCTCGCTGGGCTATATTTAACAAGTCGACCACGGATGGGAGCAAAGAGCGGCCCATGTGAGCCATCATCGTTTAGGGTGATGTCACTCCTCAAACTGTTGGCCGAGGCTCCGTCCTGTAAAAGAGGCCTGCGGCCACGAAGGTCTTTTGTCGTCGCCGCGGCTCAACAATTTGGAGCTCAAGGAATGCAGTCGCATGGAAACTACACGTACATGCATATGTGTATACACACGCATAATGACAGGTATGCGTGTACGTTATGTGTATAACAGGGTGATGTTTTCCTGCGCTGGTCACCAGCTATATGGATCAGGGAGGGGGGCGGAGGGGGGTGTGGAGCGACTTTAACCTCATCAGACCGGGAAAACAGACGAGAGTCTCTCAGCGGACACTCAACGCGAAATCCTCTTCATCTCTTTTACATCAATGCTCTTGTTAGCCTCGTGAAATCATGGGACGCACTCCACGCGCACCCCCATTGACATTTCACTCCTTGTGTTAATGATAATTCATGCAGCTGACAGCATTGGGAGACCTGCTAATTTAATCGGGCACAATTATGTAAAAATAAAACAGTGTAATAGGTGAATAAGAAGAGAGTTATGCAGCAAACGGGGGAGTGACGGATGACACGTTGTGATACTGATCCGTTTGCTGGGACGCGTCACATAAACACATAAAGATCGGTACGGTTTGATGGAAAACAAAAGGTACGTACGAGATCACACATCGGATTACTCGTTTACAGGAAGCGGTGTCCTGTTTGGTCAATCAGCAGGAAGAACTGCTTCTAGCAGCGGGCCTGGTTCCTCCTATTTCTCCAGAGCAACACCTCACACGTTAAATGACATTTGACATTTTTGGTCGTTTTGCAGAGGAAACCGGTTCCAGTGCCGTGCAGGTGGCGCCGCTTACGGGTCGCTGAGGCTGCCTGATGTGAGGCGGCAAATTACAGACTTAAGAGACAGAAATAAGAGGAAATTAAAGATCTGGAAAATATAAATGCGTAGAACTACGAGCCAACTGGGACTCTGTGGATGGCAATTTTCCACGCGGCAAAGTGCAGCAAAATTACACATATCATCCAGTGCGCGTAATCACCCGCCTCGGAGCTTTAATACACCGAGTGTCACGTGGGACAGACTCATTTCAGGCTCCTTTTCCTCGTGTGCGAAAAAAATACATTCACGCCAGAGAAAGATACGGTCAAGTGCGCATCAAGGGTGGTGTGTGTTGGGGGGGTGGGGTGGTGGTGGTGGTGGTTGGTTGGTTGAGGCTCGGCGGCGGTAAGCGAGGAAGAGCGGCGTCCAGAGAGCCGAGCTGATTGAAGTGCCGACCTTTTGGTGGGGCTGTGCAAGGAGGGGGCCCGCAGACTCTCAGTCAGCTGTCAGATTCTGCATCCAGCCTGGTGGTAGGAGTGGGGCCCTGACACCAGCCTCCCACCACTCTGCCCTGCTTGTGTCATCCATCCCTCCATTCTTCCAATTCCACACAAACACCCACCCACCCTTTAAACACACACACACACACATACACACACAGGCACCGCCGCAAACACTCGCCCAGACATCCACACAAACACAAACATATTTCAGCTTGTGCCAGCTAGGTAACATTTCTACAAATAGCAGTGTGGGCATTTGGGAGAAAATCGCAAAGCCGCAAACACTGCCTGCTGGAGGGGTGAGATAATCAGCTTTGTGGTAACAGCAAATGGCCCCTGAGTGGCGAGGCAGGTAATCATTGCACCGAGTGTTTTTTTTGGGAGGGGGTAGGGGGGGGATTGCAGAAGAGTGCTTTTCCGTCCTTGTGTGTGTGTGTGTGTCCATGAATATTCACACAGAAACGAGCAACCAATTTAAAGACTGGTATGAAAACTACCGCTATGCTCATCTGTGAGCTTAATTACTATGTGCATACATATGGGTGGTGTGGTTACTGCATATGTAACACCGACTCTGACCCCAATAACAGTAAAACAAATCATTAATATACATTTATGCAGCCATAAAACTGAAGCTGTTCCTGTTTTCCGTGGTATTGTCTGAGCCACGCCGCTACAACGCTGGTGTGTTAAAAACTGCTCTTCAACGTCCCTGATTTACATGAGCGGGGAAGGAAGAAGGCGCCGCAGATTAGCTTGAATCATGCTTGGCGTTATTCCACATCCCCGGTCTGTTTCCAGTTTTGCTATGCTTTGATGATCTTCACTAAATGACACATCAACAAAGAAAAAACATCCTGTCTCAATTATTTTTCTAGTGCAAATAAAGGCTCTAATTCTGACCGGTTTCATGGACATTTTGTAGATTACGCATGACAACTAATATAAAGTTTGCACATGAAAGGAGGATGACACAAGGTTCGGCATTCCGGGTGGAGACATCAGATGCTCAACAGGCTGGAACCTCACCTGTGTGCACAAAAGGAGTGTGTTGGGTAAGGCAAGGTCAGGCCATACACACACACATACACACACACACGCACACACTCGTACTGACGGTGTGCACAGATCTGTGTGTAGTCACAACACGGCCTCAAAGAAGCGCGCAATTTCCTCTCTGCAGGAACCCTCCACTTCAATTAACAACAAAAGAGAAAAGTGAACACCGGATCCTTAAAACCCCTCATTCGCAACAGGGTAGATAGCAATGTTAGCGGATGTAGTTAAATTCATTTGATAGGAAGAATCAAAATTATAATTACTACTTTAAAGAGTGCGCGGAAACTAGTGAGCAGTTAACGTTAAAAGTTAACGTTAGCTTAAATAAAACAGATGATAAAGAAGTCACCGTTAGCTAAAAACTATGAATTTGAAGTTAGAATGGTAAGCTAATGGTAATGGAGAAACAATTGAAATGATTAGCTTAACGTCTTGGATGAATATTTCAATGAAACAGATAAACAGTTAGAATTATGTGATAAGGTAAGAAACTGTTACCCTAAAGCAGCGATTCCCAAAGTGTGGGCCGCGGCCCGCTGGTGGGCCACGAAGGTACTGCAGATGGGCCGCGAGAGGTCATTTACAATAAATAAATAAAATGTTTTTAATTTTAAAGTTTGAAATTAATATAAAAATATTTATGATTTAAATTACATGTTATTCTTTTATCTGACCTATTTTTGATCCGTTCGCTCCAAACAAAACAATGTCAAATAGGGCACCCTCTTGTAGTATTAAATTAAATATATATGAGCTCCGGAGAAAATGGTATACAAAACATACATTGTCGGTTAATACATTTTTAATCGGTTAAATTCTTAAGGTCATTTAATCGTCCCTAGTTAATGTTTTGATCAGAGTTTAGGGCCGCAAAAGATTTTCAGATTTCAAATTGGGCCGCGGCACTCTTGAGTTTGGGAACCGCTGCCCTAAAGAAACAAGAAAGTTTGAATATTTACGTTAAAGTACCGCTAACGGAACAGTTTAAATGGTAAACTGAAAGTCACAAATAAATGGTGAAGTACAGTACCAGGGAAAAGGTTTGGACGCACTTTGCCATTGAAATTAAACTTTCTAAACCTTGACTGGTGCTGTAGGTCAAACTGATAAAAAGTTGAAATAAAATGGGTTTCAATCAAAGGGTTGTAAAAAAAACGCTGTTAAAACACTGCTTCACATCATTGTCACACAGAGACGGACCCC